CTAAAAATAGAACAGTTGTGGCTATATCTATTATATTGGTCATTTCGTGTTGCACGTGCACGCTCTTGCAAGCACGTGCGCGCAAAAATTCTACATAACATGTCTACTAACCCTAAAAAGGTTTTAACTGTCACTGGTGTTTTTTGGAAAAGTAGGTACAAAGGCGTGTAAATAAAGTAATAATTTTAATATTGTAAAGAACTAGGTTTTTACTTTAGGTAAGTTCAAGTGATATATGATACTGTATGCGTGCAATTTATCAAGAAGCATATTTTAACTATTTTAAGTTAAGGGTGTTAGAAAACAATGTCTCAGAACTTACGGTACTTTGATAAATAGCATACATGTGCTTTGATTTTTACTGTTTCTAAAATATCATAAAAATGGTGGATATTGGCAGTTTATAACAAAGAAAAAAGAAGGTACTTTGATTTTTATTGCAATTTTAAGTCATCAACCTAATATATGTCTGTATGTATTGATTTTGTATAAGTCACAAGGATCATAACCATGGATTTTTAAACAAATTATATATTTGGAGCCATGTTGTCAAGACCAAAACACAAATTCATATGTGACAACAAGTATTAATATAAAACTTTGTAAATTTACCTCTTGCAAATGTCATTTTAAAATTGAAAATTCGAGATATGAGGTGTGACATACAGACACACAGTAAGCCATGCCTATACAAAAGAAAAAAAAGAAATTCAAACTCGTAAGAAAATAAGTGATATCACAAAAATTCGTAAACATATTGAAGATTTAGTTTAAACCATTTGAATGATTCAGTCAGTATGATAGTATAACCGATTATGTAACTTTTAAATTTCCATATCTTATAGCAATCTAAACCACCTTTTTCTCTTCATTTGTAATTGTAATAGTTAAAAGTATCGAAAAATCTTTATGCCTAATAACCTATGATTAAGTTAATAACAAAAACAGTCAATGATTTTATGCGTGTGTTTGATTTCTTCAAATGAACAAATCTGGTCCACTATGAAGATGTCTAATTATTGAACAGATCTTGAGTTTACATAGATACCTCACGATGTATTTGCTGCTGTAGGCTCGGTATCTTACAGGGGGTCCTGATTACAGAATCCAGCTTCTTTCTGCTTCACCAGAAAATAATTTGTTAATCGTCGGTTGATAGAAGCCTTAGCTATTGTTGTGTTTCTGCATGCATGGCCATCTATTAAAAGCAAGAAACCAAAGGAAGTGTCACGTCGTTAAAGCTGTGCTTTGTAATGGACCATTTGCAGGAGGTTTCAAATAGCGAGAAGCTTCGGGGGAGGTTTGGAGCAGGTTGTAAAGGATGCTTGTATTGTTAATAGATTTGTTGAAGACCAAAACAGATTAACTTCATTTGTTGTTTAAAGATATGTTCGTCTGACATGCCAAAATAAGAATATTAAAATGAACAGATAAAAAAGTATAAAACATAAAAGGGAAAAAAGACATTGTATTCAAATAAATTATATTTTGAACATATAGTTCCTTTTTTACGAAGTTTGTATTATTGTTGCAATGTGATTTAAAACAGATATCAAAACAAAAACCAAAATCACGATAGTTTGATATTATTCGGGAATTTGACTAATTTCAAAAGTAGAAAGTTAATGGATGAGGGAAAACTTGGCATATGCATGAAACATTATCTTGAATAACTGAATTGAATACAATGTAATAATAAGACTCTTTGTTACAAACCATCAAGGGATAGGCCTGCATCATTCCTCTGGCCGTTTATAAATAGGTTGAAAAATGATCGAAGTATGAAGTTCCCTTATAATTGATATCCGCTTCCTTGTACTCTGAAGAAAGTACTAAATTTTACTTCAAATAACTTGAGGTGTTTTCCTGGTGAAAAGCAAAACTTTGTAAATAATCTGAAATCTATTATTTGTCGAAATCATTGCAGAAGTTTACTATATCTATACTCATGCTAAATATATTATAGTTATGTAATAATTTTCCTTTCATGGATGTAGGTGTCCATCCGTGTGTGTTTTTTTTATAATTGTGTTCAGCTTTTGTTTCACTTGTCAAAAGTATCGAAGAAACTTATCCATCGTTAGAGAGTTGAATAAAAAATCGTATTGTTCTTATATGTACTGTTAAAGTTTGTTATGAATGCTTTTGAATAATAGGAAAATGAAAAAAAAAGTCCTTTCTTTGTACATTATTCTTCAATTGTCATACAATGTCATAGGACAGAAGAGTGCTTTTTTTCTATTTCGCTATTCTCTGCTTATTTTGCTTTCAACATGATTATTTTTAAACGTGCACTTACAATCTTAAATGTTACGTATTCTTTAAAAGGAAATGCCATGTTAAATCTTTAGATAAAGAAGTCTGTGTATCGCAGCTTGGCATTGATGCTCCTAGTATATAAAAATGTTGGAGTCCTGAAATCATTCAAAATTTCTGTCTTCTTTTTTGTGACCCAGTTATTGAGGATGTGATTTATACGTCTCTTAATTACTATTTTTAAAACAATACCAGCTTTGATCAAAAGGTTTCCAAATGTTTGCTAACAGACCTGACATGTTATTTATGGTCTCTTTATTAATAATTTCTTGTCCAGTGTTGCTATACGCTGAGGTTTTAAAATGAACTTTTCAGCTTTCTCTCAGTTGATGTATGTTGGCTCCAAGCGTTTGCATAAAAATCAGGTTGACCTTGGCTGTCTTAGAGAATGAAAAGAATAAAAAGATGCCGGAAATTTTCAGTTTTTGTTCTCTCCTTCACACCTAGCTTTACATCAAATGTTAAGGCATCGCTATACAGGGCAACATATACCTGTGGTTCTAATGAAATTAAACGAATAATACTTATCAATTAATGAAGCAATGTATATTTTTTTAGATCAAATGCCTTTTTCAGATATATATTTACATGGGTTGATTTTTTTTACTTTATAGACTAGTTAAATTCCAGTTTTGAAAATAAATAAGTTACCGCAGACGTAGGTGCAAACTCAAGGTTTGAAGAATATTGCTATTTTATTGTGTGCATGTATAGATTTCCCATTTATAATTTTATTTTTATACTTGCCCCCTAATCTTTTTAAAGAATAATATACCCTGGTATCTTTATAAGGCTTTGCTATAAATGTTTAATGAGCGTTTTTAGGAAGAAGATTGGTCTGCGTATATGACGCTTTTTACGCTTATAGGGAAATGTTCAGGGATGTTAGTTAGTACATAACATGTGCTTATTTAGTATATATATAATACATTTCCAAGAAAACGATTGGCATGTATTAAAAAGTACATGTATATCTCGGCTAAGAAAAATACTGGGGTTTTCACATGAAATTCAATGTCTACCTGCACGAGCATTGTCCTTAAAAAGTCCTGAATCAAACCTACAAAAAAAATTTGGAGTTAAAAAATATTCAGCAGATCAAACCTAAAACCCAGACACATCAATAAAACAAAGAAGAAAAACACTATAGCTTTATAACGATGTCTTAAAATTAATCCTGTCATTCGCGCAAGAATGGAGCAACTACTACAAGTACTATAGAGTTTAAGACTTTTCATTGTTTGCAGCTTTGTTTGATTAAATATTTTATATTTCCAAAATATAGGATTTTGAAATAAGATTACAAAAACATATACTGAGGCTATTTTTCTATAATTGTATAATAATTATATGTAGGCATAAACATTGTTTGTTCTTTAATGTTGTTTACTTGATTAGATTTCCGGTGTTGGTAAAACATCAGTCAAATTCTTACTAACGAATAATTTGCCAAATCTATTTAAGTTATAACTTCCTGCTTTTAATTAATCTCATTTTAAATGTAGGAACATTCATTCCCTGTGCTAGTGTTACTAAGTCAACTTTATCTTAACAAAAGAATTGGAAGAGAACATCGCCTCATATAAATTGGTCAGTCAAATTTGGATTAAGTTATGTTTCAAAGGATTCGTGTGTGCTTAGTAGTTTGATACTTAACTCAAAGATGTACTCCTCTACACGAGCTGATCGAAGAAAACACTTCAACTTGAAATTTAGATATATCGTTAATGTTTTATCACTAAACAATAATTACTTTCATTCATATCATATGTTGATTAGGTATATCCCAGTAAACTTGACATAAAGGACCGAATAGATTCTGCAACGTCTTTTTTTCATATTTGGATGTTTTGATGAAAAAATGGCAAGACCAACTAATAATTTGATTGTTTGACAAACGGGATGACCAACATTTCCATTGTCAATTTATGTAGTAATATCCTGCTATTACCTACATAGGATGTTCACATCTAAAATTTTCGATACACAGGAGCATATTAGATTCTTTTATTCTCCGAGTGAGGGTGCTGACAGATAAGTTGATGTTACAGGAACCTCATCAACCTCGTTTAAGTCAGCATTCTTATACATGGGTTGATGTTCAAATACAGTGTACCTCTTTATTCCTTCAAAGTAATTTGAAAGCCTCATTGCTTTTAATGAATAAAGATTTGCTCGAAATCTATGTTGAAGTTTTAACAGGTTTTATTTTTTTTTTCATGGATACCTAATGTTTTCTAATCAAAAGTTACATGAACGACCTTGATATGTTTCACATTTAGAATTCGTAAATCTTTAATTGAGGAAAGGAGTTCTACTAAATTATGTATCTACTTTATTTTAACCCAGTTACCTACATCGCCCTGCAGTCTATTAATTTTAGGATTTTTTATTTGTGCTTTTTATCGTATGCGTAAGTGTCGGCCTTAATTTATGATACACAAGGCGTAATTGTTTTCTGCAAAGGAACACACCCTTTTGTTTAAAATTATAATATGCTGACATGTTGATTTTATTTTTGGTGATATTTAACCTATCATTGATAATGACTGTAGCATAAGGGAAATAATTCTTGCAAATGATTGTTATGCAACGCTTATATAAGAGGGCATTGGATTTTTTGTCACATAAACTACACACAGGATACTTCTGTAAAAAGTTTTTAATTGAGTTTTTCTTTACAGAAAACCCAGACTGAGTGCTCAGATTGCTGCGCAGCAAGTCGCACAGCAATACGTGCCCCCTCCACCTCCCCCTCCCTCAAAGAAGGAGCGGATCCATTATAAATCAGAGGAGTTCGTGAATGATTCCTCCTCCAACGATAGCTGTGATGTTAAAACTGTTAGGAATACAAACTCTCCAAGTGTGGAATCCCACTCTAATAATACCAGTAATAATTTCATTATCAAAAAGGAGAAGAATTTCTCTCATTCCACAAAGAAAACGCAAAGGTAATAGATTTTTTATATATAGGTAAATCTTTGAATTTGTGTTGTATACTGGTATATATAAACACTGTGTAAAGATATATTAAGTTATTAGTGGCATTGTATCAAGCTAAAGGTCAGAACAATAGAAATGTGTTTCCTAAAGAATGACATTGCGAATCTGTCGAATATTCCAGCGCAGGTTAAACATTCCTGAAAAATGCAGACAGTGCTTCTGACATTAATATGTATACCTAAATTGAAAATCTGCCCAGTCAAAGGATCTGACGCCTGTTCCAAGATTTATGTATTCAAAATGCAATATAATGTGAAGGAGTTAAAGAATTTTTAAGGTTTCAGTGACCGCATGTCATTTTTTTTACCGTTGTAAGATTGTTTTTGTTTGTTGTATGCAAGATACTCTTCTTAAAAAAGATTAGATACAGTAAAGAGATGACGTCATGAAATTGAAATGCTACAGAGATTGACGTTAGCACCATGTTGCATAAATTTCTAGTTCCTCCCTTTTGTAATTCACTAAAATGGCCATCATTCACAGTTTAAATCATCAGATATGGCACATGGATTCTCACCTGAAGTCTTCATAAATTTGAAGACCCTTAGCTGTACATTAACATATCTCTACAGCATCTGCTTGTCAAGTAGAAAGACTTCCTGAAACCTAAAATTAGCTCATTTGCTTCTAATTTTATACCCTATTTGTAGGTCGACTCCCAAAATTGACAGAAGCAGTGCCGAGACTATATCTGTGACTGTTGGAAGCGTCACTGTTGCCATTACTGACTACAAACCGAAGCTGGAGAAGAAAACGTCATCTTCTTCAGCTGATATTCTTCAGAATGTGACATCAGACAGCAGTAACTGTTCCGTGCTTAGCGGCATTAATCGTCACCCCGAGGACTTTGTTGGAAACGGGAGTAATCATTGACACAGACTTTAACTTGTTTTTTTCATGTCATGTTGATTTATTCAAGATATACCCAAATCCAACACATGCGCACATATCATATAAAGGCACCAGGTGTTCAGGTGCTAAGATTAGTTTTTTTTGTTTCATCATAAATGCTACATTGAGGAGTCTGTCGCCTTCGTTTGCCAACATTGACGTATTCCTGTCAAGAATTATATTATCTCAGCGTTTTTGTGAATGGGTGACAATGACTATTCGTTATCAATTAAAATCTATGATAATGTTGTGGTGAGAACGTTTTATAATAGGTTTTTTCTGTATGTCTTGTTTATGCTTGTGTTTGAAACTTGGAATCAAAGTGTATATTAAAGGATGGGTTATTTATTTCTTTGCTATTTGTGCAGAGCATAAATTAATGTGCCATTGCTCCTTACTGCCAAGCATTTCTTTCTTTTCCTTTGGATGAACAATGTCTATTGACCTGCAATCAAAGTTTTATGTTAAAAAAATATTAATCAAGTTTTAAAAAGAAAATGGCAAAAAAGAAATAAAGAATGATTTATTTGACATTATACTATTTATTATATATAGAATATTATATTCTATAAGAGAATTCACTCACACTAAGTAAAATTAACCAATAACTTTTCTGTTTCCAAGGATTTTGAAGTATTTTGTTCAAAGAGTTGTAAAATGTATGACTGTGTGTCAGTGAAAGCTTTAAATATGCATTTTATTTATAAATATATAAATAAATATATAAATAAAACGTGCATTTGAATCACTGTACTTTACCTAGTTTGAAACAGTTCATGGAACTAATGCTTTTTGGTTGTCTTTTCACTGGTTGATTTAATTGTATTTCTTTTCTAGCTTTGTTGACTGAGTGAGTGCATAGAAAATGAGAGTATTCAATGTGAATGAGACCATTAGATGTAGAGTCTGCCATACTCAATTTTGTTCTCGAAGGATATATACCTATATAAAGAATGAATGAACATTTGTTGTGTCTTGTTTTATGATTGAATATACTATTACTAGTATACTAGTATTATCAATTTTTTTTATACATGTAAGTTTAAGGATATGTCATGATTTTCGGGGCTTTATGTATATTAGCCAAGGAGAAAAATTGTTAAATCCAGTAAATAAAAGTCTTTATAATTTATATATCATTTATTTAGACAATGAAAGTTTTCATGATGAATATGGATTGATTTTAATAACGAAGTTTTGAGACGATGTGAAAAGGTAAGGAATATTTGTATTTTCTGAAGGAAAGGATAAATATTTTTTACAATAAAAGTGATTAATATTCATAGATGAACGTGAATTTTAGTAAAAAATTAATTTGTATTTAATTACTGGTTGAAATTCTTTTTTCTCCAACACTATAGAACATCATGAATAAGTTTAAATTATTTGTATTTAATCCACTCTATTTATTCAGATTTTCATTTTAATCAAGGTCTTGACACACAAGTTGTTCTGAATAGTCAATGCATTTTCTAACATAGCATAATAATTTATTTACTCGTTTAGTCGTAGAATAAAACTTTAATTGACAATTGTTGTATGTGTATGCAAATTAGTTTTGTTTTTTATGTATCCGGCTTCCAAATTTGTTATTTAAGTTTAAATTTAGACACAAAATTAAATCGCAGCTTATTTACGAGAAAAATGGTGACATTAATTTTAGACATTTTTTTGCGGTCAAGACGCGCCATAGCCACCTTAAATGGACTTATATAATGCATTTCAAATAATTCTCACTGAGTTGTATCAAAGGAAAATAAAAGACGTGGAAAACGTATACGTTAAATACGTCTTACTTATATCAATTCTGATATTTTAACTCGAAATGCATTCTAATTTAATTTGAAAACCGCGAAAACAACTTACACACTTTTAAGTTTTACAGCATTTTAAAGTTTGATTTATGTCGCAAAAGAAAAGATTAGTTTATAGTTTATTTTACATAAACATGTCTAAATTACTTTCTATTTTAACTTTTGTAAAGAGCAGCTGTTCTAAGAATTCACTGCTAAGATAATTAATGGAGAAGTAATGATTTTTACATATTCAAGATACTAAATATATATGTACTTTTATTTTTATTTTGTTTGTCTTTCGAGTTAAATCCCTCCAAAGATATTCCACATTTAATTCTGATGCTTTTAGAGATCCCAGTTTGCTCTGCTTCCCGCTGGTACTGTACCAGTTGACAATTGAGCTTGATATCTGAACATTTCACTAAATCAAATACTGTATACAGGGTTATTTTTGCCCCGTGTAATTTTTGCCCCATGTTATTTTCGACTTTTCACACTGCCCCTTTTAATTCCGCCCCGTCACAGCTTTCTTTAAGGAATTATTGTGTTCTTTGAATTCGTCCTGTTTTTAATTCGCCAGTCTGTGAGTATAGGGCGAAAGGGTTGGAAATAAAACGGGGGCGAATTTTTTTCTGTATACAGTATAGTTACTGGTATTAAAATCTTCAAATAATGCAGATTCTAAGGAAGTTGCAAAATTTTATATAATTTTTAACACATATAATTTTCTTCTCAGGAGAAATTTAGAGGAAAAAATAAGATCTACAATTCATTAAAAAAAAAACTCTTCAGCTAGACTCTCATTACATAAAAAAATATTTGTATTATATCCAAACGGAACCGTTTCCTGTAAAATTATGATTTCCTATCAAAGATCATATTCTTCTCCTGAAAATAAGGGAATGGAAGAAGATACATGTATACTTAACAAATGCATTGGTCTTAAAATTTTTTGTGAGTAACGTTTTGGATAGACTTTGGAATATATGTTAAGATTTCAGATTCTATTTAGACTGCAATCCGAACAACACCTCCTACGCTCCCAAAACTAACCTCATGGATGAGTGAATCTTTGTATAGGAATTTCAATTGAATAAAACTGAGAACGAATATTTCTTGCCGGAATTAAAATCTTTTATTCTTTAACAGACCTGAAGAGACAGCCATGGGGAAGGTTTGTGATATCGCCAATCTGAGATTTCTTAGACTTTTATTCAAGTCAGATAAAGAAAAAAAGTTGTGTAACACTTGAATTTCTCATTTTTTTTATCCTTCAATGACTTAGTAATGATGGTCAAAATTTCAATTCCTTATATTCTAGAGAAGCTCAAAGTGTAAAATTGCTTTGACTTTACGAAATGTAAAAGACATCTAGCATGATATTCCATTATTTTATGTCAGTTATGACGTTTATGTGTTTTTTTTCTACAATACAGACACCTGTAATTTTAAGGTTACTCCTCATCACCATGATAATGCTTTAACAAGGTGTACATCTAGCTTGAAACTAGATTGGTTTAGAAAGAAAAAAACTAAATTATTTAGTATATGTATACTAGTGAATCAAACTGATCAATTAGCAATATTTTTGATAGCGAGAACTTGCTAATTTTGATATAGTTATTAAGAAAAATCAGCCAGTTGGATTCACCGTTGTGTTTAGTTGATTTAAAAAAAAGAATCAGGCTTGTTTCGATAAATCAAGTTCTTTTTCATTTATTTTTTTGATATCTTGCCAATTCTGATGAAAGCTTTGCTTATACTCGTATCGTTCAATCTTAAATTAAACACTTCAGAACTATTAACTATACTTCTGAACAAAAAAAGCAAACTGAAAAAATACAAGATATAATTTTGATAAAACCCTTAACAAAAGTTGAAGTGTGCTGCTTATTCATGTTTTTGACAGTAAAATGAAAATCAATTAATCATGAAGTGAATATAATGAAAATCTGTCATATTGATTAATAGCTTACAGCTACTAAAATGTTTATTTTTAAAAACGGTACATGTAAACTAACAGGAAAAGTTTCCTTCTAATCTAAAAATATTTGAAGATGCCTGACACTTCTTTGCTCAATATTTCATTGGTTAAAACCATTATCTTATCGCCTATTTCTATGTTTGGATTGGGGTGTTTTTGGACTATTAATGTCAGAATCCCAATTCAAACAATAAACTGGATTTAAATGATTCGGTAGTTTTAAGCTTTACTGTTCCGAGACTAGAATAAGAGCTTATGTTATAGTAAGGTGTCTGTCCGTATGTTTTTTGTTTGTCTGTCTGTAATTTTTTTTTAAATGCTACTTCTACACAGTTTTGGTCTGAATTATTTTCTATCGTCAACATCTCTTACTTATACAGCAATATACCTTCATCACCTGCATATGGAGTTTATATTTCTCAGTTGATTCGATACGCAGGAGCATGCCGTATTTTCTGAAACGAGATAAATTATTGACAAACAAATTGATGAAGCAAGAATAGCAGCCGTCTCGTTTAAAGTCATCATTTCGTAAGTTCTATGGTCGATGCAATGATCTTGTCAGTAAATACAATTGATCATTGAGTCAAATGCTGACTGACGTTTTTTTTTTTACTAATAATTATTGCATTATTTATACACTGCATTGGCGACGGATTTTCCCGATAATGACAAGGAGCACACGGCGGGTGTGACCGGTCGATAAGGGGTTCTCACTCCTCCATGGCACCTGATCTCACCTCTGATGTTTTGGAGGTCTTGATCTGCTCCTATTTTGTATTGTTTTATGAACTTTTGATCTTGAATACTGTTCGTTGTGTCCATATGTCCATATGTTTCAGTCAATATACTAGTAACAAGTAGATTACACCATGATACATAATTCATCATTTTTTTGATTTCAATGAACGGTGTTGCCCTGGTTACTAAAATAGACGAAATCAAGAATAATTGTTCTATTTATTGTTGTTGCAAAGTTTAAGTCCAATTCTTTTATTCCCTTGTTATAAATACACACCAGTAGAGCTACGATCTCGACATATTTTTTTTTTCAAATAAAAAAAAATAACAATTTATGTTTTTAAACTTTAACTCTAGATTCCTAAAAGGAAAAACTATACCCCTTCGATCTATCAATCGGGTGGTAGAAAAATTAGACACCAATTACATCCAATGTGGGTTTGGTAGGATCTAATTTGCAATAGAAAGAATCACGATTTTTACAGACGTGAAAATAAAAAAAAGTTTTGGATTTATGTTTTATGTGTTCAATTGGAGTTGGGCATATCTTTGCATTAAATTGTCGGGGTACGTACATCAAACCTTTCTGGATTTCATATAATTATTCTTTTTGTAGAATATTTTATGTATATTGCTAAAATGATATTGTTCTTTAGTTGTCTGTCTGTAATTTTTTTTAAGTGCTACTTCTACACAGTTTTGGACTGAATTATTTTCTATCGTCAACATCCCTTACTTATACAGCAATATACCTTCATCACCTGCATATGGAGTTTATATATCTCAGTTGATTCGATACGCAGGAGCATGCCGTATTTTCTGAAACGAGATAAATTATTGACAAACAAATTGATGAAGCAAGAATATCAGCCGTCTCGTTGAAAGTCATCATTTCGTAAGTTCTATGGTCGATGCAATGATCTTGTCAGCAAATACAATTTATCATTGAGTCAAATGCTGACTGACGTTTTTTTTTACTAATAATTATTCCATTATTTATACACTGCATTGGCGACGGATTTTCCCGATAATGACAAGGAGCACACGGCGGGTGTGACCGGTCGATAAGGGGTTCTCACTCCTCCATGGCACCTGATCCCACCTCTGATGTTTTGGAGGTCTTGATCTGCTCCTATTTTGTATTGTTTTATGAACTTTTGATCTTGAATACTGTTCGTTGTGTCCATATGTTTCAGTCAATATACTAGTAACAAGTAGATTACACCATGATACATAATTCATCATTTTTTTGATTTCAATGAACGGTGTTTCCATGGTTACTAAAATAGACGAAATCAAGAATAATTGTTCTATTTATTGTTGTTGCAAAGTTTAAGTCCAATTCTTTTATTCCCTTGTTATAAATACACACCAGTAGAGCTACAATCTCGACATATTTTTTTTTCAAATAAAAAAATAACAATTTATGTTTTTAAACTTTAACTCTAGATTCCTAAAAGGAAAAACAGTATACCCCTTCGATCTATCATTCGGGTGCGTAGAAAAATTAGACACCAATTACATCCAATGTGGGTTTGGTAGGATCTAATTTGCAATAGAAAGAATCACGATTTTTACAGACGTGAAAATAAAAAAAAAGTTTTGGATTTA